ATAAATTATTTTTAATATATATTTATTTTATCTTTAAATTTAATAAATTTTTAACTTTTTTTATTAAATATACATACTTTAATAATATATTTTTTTTTAACATTTAATGGAGGGTGAAAAGAAAAAATTATGTTAAAATTAACGAGGTGATTTGTAAATGAGGAAAAAAAATTCTCTACCATATAAATAGGATTAGAGAAATTTTTTTTGCCTATATATAAGAATTAACAACCACTATAAATCGAAGTGCTATATAGTTTCAAAACAACTATATAACAATTATTTTTGCTATACAGTTTGGCTTTATATAACAGCTATTTTTGAATAATTGTTACATATTTTGTTTTGGTTAAGAGATATCTTAACATTCAATAAACTATAACAATTTTCTTAAAATCATCTTTAAATAGTTGCTTTACATTCAACAATTATTTCATAAAAACCATTATAGTCAAGGCCAATTTTAATCATTCCTAACAGGTTCCCAATAAGATAGCCGCTATATAGTTTAATCAATATAATGGCTATCTTAAATAAATGCTATATAGTTTGGTTTTTTTTTTTTCAAAAAAAATATGGGAGCTGCGTTTCTAGCAACCTTCCGCAATAATAATACAGACTATAAGCCAGCAATAATATCCAATAACATAATTCCAAATGAAACCAAATTTCATATGCATTGATCATTATTTCAATAATCCAACTTTATTTTCTCTAAAGTCTATTTGTAATTATTTCAATATTGTCAAAACAATGTCTACAAATTAAACTAATTCAAGAAAAAAATTTGCCAATAGGTTATGTTGCAAATAAGTTGACCAAAAGGTTAACCAAAAATCAAAACTTATGGCCAAAGTAACCATGTTTTGCCTAGTCATGATTAAAAAACCTAATATAATCCTATTTATTGAGCAATAAGCTAATGAGCATAGTGATCATTTTCTTTGTATCCATTGTTTCGATAAATCTTGGGCCAACTCTTTAAGGGCTTCTTCAATTTGAGCTGAACTATATTACTCAACAAATGCATCCTCGAAGTACTGTTAAGCCAAATATAACATAAATCAAGTTTAAGTAGGTGATATATAATGTAAATTATTAAATCTAATAAAGTAGGGATAGGAGAAATACTTAGTCAGGCATAACCCCATCATCTAGCACATGTTCAACTATGCCTTTCATGTATTTCATGATGTTATGACCACAATCCTTAATCTTGACATATTGTTTTGGACAGTTTGATAAACAAAAAGTGAGTTATAATATAATAAACTTGATTTGATAAAATAAATTTAAGGTAAATATATACTTTAATTATCTTCCATTCAAATGTGTTATCAAAAGTAGAAGTTACTTGAATGAGAGGCAACTTTTTATGGTTTCAAAACGTTTGGATAGCCTTACATGATAGTATGAAACTTTATATAAAAGATCACATGGACATAGTAAATTACACACATGCAGAAAAATTATTTAACCTCCTTATTAAACACCATCATGATATGTTTTTAATTTTTGGCTACCCTCTAATAGGATTGTGGTACCACATTATGACTCTATATGGATTGAGAATCAGTAGCATCCAATGACTCCTATCACAATGAGCATGCATATATTGGTATATGTTATACAAAAGTAGTTTAATTAAACAAAATTCAAATATGACTATTGCTCAAAAAGATTCACATGTCACAAAATAACGCTAAGAAATTTAATTCTTCCTGGTCATATGGGTTAAGTAACTGTTGATTTCATTTGCTCAATTTTACCATTGCTCCTCGTCCATTGCCCTCATTCCATGGGGGGAGGTCATGTGAGGATTTATCAAAACCACCCTATCTGTGAGGCTAGTAAGTGTGATTTTTGAATTGTGCAAGTGCCTTACATGTCAAAATGATAATAAGATCAATAAAATGTGTGACAGAATCCTTAATCCTCTCAAAAGTTTATATTTTCTTGCCCTTCCCTTTTCCCTTATTGTCATTGGATAGCTTTGGAACCTTGTCATAAGGTTGCAAACACAATGTTGGTGATCTATTTAAAAAGAAAGTACAATAATAAGAAATGCTTAATTAATATACCTATTTTTCGATCGTGAAACCCATAGTAAATGATCAGGCCTAATACTTTTTGCACAAGTTCTACATTTGGTATGGGCATAGGCAAGGCATAATTATGTTCATGCATAACGAATAGTCAAACTTTTAAGTGATCAATAGGGAGGGGTATGTTGTGAATCACAATGCTTCCTGCAACGTTGTGCATGCAACTAGTTACAGCCACATGTAAGTAAGAGATGTTAGCCACGTGTTCAACCTTAACCTCTCCCTAAACAACTAGGGACAAATACTTCTTTCTTGATTCTTGTTATGCTCTCATACAAACTTAATAAATTTTCAAACTCCATCCCAATATTCTTGAGATGTATGCCTAACAAACATCCATTTCCTATCTACAATGTCAATCTAGTGTTAATCATTTTAAATGAAAATGTGACCAATGACTTAATGATAGTTAGGACAGTTAAATAAGAAAGAATCAATGCTTGAATCACATGCTATCACATATTATCCTTCTCTAATTATAGGATCAGCATTAGTACATTAAATATGATGTTAATCATGTCCTATTATGCTTGAAAATTTTTTGGCAATATAACTACTTGAAATTGTCATACCTCAAGCCTTTTGCTCTCTCCTTATACTAATTTTAAAAAATACTTTAAAGTTATACGAAACCAATAATTTTAGAAAATCCACTAAAAAGCCTATAGCGGAGGAAGGCAACAATGAAGAAAGGCTCTTTGATGGCGGAAAACAACTAAGTTTGGCTAAAAATCACTCTTCAATATCAATGAAGGTGGTTTTGTAGGAAATGAGAGAGGTTCGTGAGAGAAAGAGAGCGCTTGATGTTTTTTAAAATGTAACGTCTACATAAAATTTGAAATTTAAAAAGATTTTAAATGAGACTATTTAGTTGTTATTTAAAAATAATAATCAGGAATTAGGAATTCGGGCGAGACAGGCCTATTCAAGCTTAACCTAAATATGTCTAGCTCAAATAGCCCGACTTCTTAACAAGCTCGAATAGCCAAGCTTGACCTGAATTCATTTGAGCTTTAAGCGGCTCAAATAACCGAATTATATTTTTAAAATTATTTTTAATTAATTAATTATTTTATTTTATAAAAATTTATTTTTTTGATATTTAAACAATGTCTAGGATTTAAATATATTGTATTTAGTATAAAATGACCTAAAATGTAAAAAATTAATTAATATTTATTATATTTTATATATTTTTAAAAATAAAAATTTTTATTCAGGTATTTGGAATTGGGATTAGCCTGATTTTTTTTTTTGGATCTATTTGGGCTAGCTTGAACATGAAAAAAATTATTTTTTAAGCTTGGCCGTAAATTTTTTCACATGAATTCTAGTTAATCCATTAGACTTAGTCTCGAATTACTGACTTTAATAATAATTGCTAAATAGTTTTTAGATTATAAAGTTAAAAAAGACTATATACCGATCACTAGAAGTAACTGCTATATAATTTCATAACTATTCAGCATTTATTTTGAAATAATTGCAAAATAATTTTTTGGAAAAAAATTTAAAAAGATAGAGATTATACAACATGTTTTCATTTTAACTGCTATATAAACCCAAATATTATTTATAAGGATTATCGTATATAAATGTTATATAGCCTTTAGAATCAAATCCCACATTTTCTATATAATAGTTATTAAAATAACTGTTATATAAAAGTCGTTATGTATAAGGTTGTTTTTTAGCAGTGTAATTATGGCAAGTGGTGAGATCTATCATGCCTTAGTTTCTGGAATTGTTTTTCATGTTAAAAAAAGAATGGATATTCGGTCAAGAAGAAAAAGTTGCATAGATACGTGTGATGCGCAAGGGAGCGTGTAGGTTGAATGAAACAAGAAAAGATGGAGCATGCAAAATGGAGGAGAAAGGTGAAAGGGAAGAAATCGAATATGAACACTTGACTCTGGCCAAGATGACAAATATAATGGTTTTAGAAAGAGGGGGGAGAAAGGTAAGAGTGGCGTAGCAATGGCGTTAGGAGTGAAACATCGGGCATGATGGGGTGCGAAAAAAGCAGGAAGAAGACACTACAAAATCTAAGGAAGATGGCCCACTAAAATTGTGCCACTCCACTTTTTTAATTCCCGTCATGGACCCCTCTCCCCCCTTTTTCCCATATATGGACGTCCACACAGGCCACACCCATTCATCCAATCCCAGACCTTCCAACCACGGTTTGAAATTTCACTCCTCATCAGGGGTTTTACTTTTATTGCTTCTAGACACTCCCTCTCAACCCATCTCGTCTTGCTCAATTCGCACGCCAATCATGTTTCTCCCCTTTATCATTACTGTCTTGAACAACAACGCCACACCCTTTCCATTCTTAACTCATTCGCCCGAGCAAGGAAATTCCAGTGTTTTAGTTTAACCTCGCTTGAATCAATTCAAATTCAACTCAATGGCTTTAATCACCGCGTTAAGTACATAATTATTTATTTTCAATTAAAATATTCCAAGAATCATTGGGGGTTGGCTGGGTAGGAAAACATGGAGGGAGAAATGGGTTAAAAAACAAAAAAAACAGAGAGAAGAATGGATGCAAATAAAAGGATGGTGGGATGGGAGGGGGAGGGATGCATGAGATACTGAGATGGGATGGCATGGGAAGCAAATCTTAAAAGGAAATCAAAGGAAAATGGCCTTTCTTTTCCCACCACCTGCTCTCTCTCTCTCTCTCTCTCTCTCAAGATATGGTGAGCGCCACATGATTTCACAAACACACCCCTTCAATATTATTCATTTGTTGAAATTAATTTTAAGAAAAAGGCTCCTTTGCTGACCTCACCTGTATCTCTTGATCGGATTTTCTCGGGCCCCACTCACTCCTTTCTTTTTTTAACTTCCTTCCCTCCCTCCCTCCTCCTATTTCATTTCTTCCCCTTCCATTTCCTCTCCCTCCTCTTTCTAGTATATATTGAAATCCTCTCCAAATCTTTCCAACCTAACAAAATATATTCACTCCCATTTATTTCCCATCCTCCTCCTGTTTGTTTTGTTTTTTTAATTTTATTTTATTCGTTCCTTGTTTGTTTCTTTATGTTCCCTGCATTGCTTGCCCTGTAATTCAACTATCCTCCTTGGAAATTTTGCAAGATTTTGGATGAAATCTGGCCAGATCTTGCTTTGTGGGATGTGGATTTTGGTGGGTCTTCTTCTCATACATAACTCTTCTCCCTCCCTCCTCCCCTAGACTCGCCCGAAGCACAAACCATTCCTCCCTTCCCTCTCCGCCATAACCGACCAAGCCGGTCCGACGGAATAAAAGCCAACGCTCCTCCGCTCCTCCGCTCTGATCTATTCCCCTCTACCGCGATTCTGGGTTTTGTTTTCAATCCGGAATTTGGGCCGAATGGGAATGGCTGCGGAGTCCCAGTTCCACGTTTTGGCCGTAGATGATAGCCTCATAGACAGGAAGCTCATTGAGAGGCTGCTCAAGACCTCTTCCTATCAAGGTATTCCACACCCCCCGCTCGGGGTACTCGCGGCAGAAAACTTTTTTATGGGCTCGCAAATTTCAAATGATGTTCTTTCTTCCACTGATCTTAGGTTTGCTCTTCTTAATGGACTCTGTTTCCTCGATAACAGTTACCACGGTGGATTCCGGGAGCAAGGCTCTGGAATTCCTAGGCTTGAGCGAGAATGACCGGATCGACCCCGGCTCGCTGTCGGTTTCTCCTGGCAATCATCAGGTATTGATTTTTTTTTTTTTTGCCGCAATTGGTTGAGATTCCACGACCCGTTTCTGCCATTCTTTTGCTTCATTTTCATTTCAGGGTGTCCTGAACCTTTTGGACTTTTCTGTGCTTATAGGAAGTGGAGGTGAATCTTATTATTACCGACTACTGTATGCCTGGCATGACAGGCTATGATTTGCTCAAGAAAATAAAGGTATGCTTTGGTGCTTTGGTTTCTATTCCTCCGTCCTCTTTCCCTTTTATCATTATATTCCATTATTGCCCCCCACTTTTCTCGGTCTTTACACTCAGAATAATCACCCTTTCGCTCAAATCACACCCCCCATGTGAAGACTTTCCATTTTGAAAGCCTGCATTCCAAATCCAACTTACTCTTGCTCAATGCTGTCAACTCGGGAATCAAGTTTTCTCACTTTAACTGAAAAGAAGGGAGGGGGGGGGGGGACAACTCCCGCAATATTCTCCTTATCGGCTTTCGAAACTATGCATAAGAAACTAATTTCGTTAGTTATAATCAAAGTTTTCCATTCTTAAAAAGGGCATCCTGTAGTGGCTAGATCAGAGAGGAGAATTCGTTCGTTCATCTCTGAGAACGCTGTGCCTGCTCACCCGTTCAGTTTAGGCACCGGCAGACTTGTGAATTTACAGGACTCCCTTTGGTATTTCAGGAATCTTCGTCTTTGAGAAATATACCGGTGGTGATTATGTCGTCGGAGAATGTGCCTTCAAGAATTAGCAGGTAATGGGGGAGACATTTTGAGTATTCATAAAACCCTCCGGGACCATTTTTCCGAGGTGGAATGCTTACATGTGAATGTGTATGTGACCTGGCAACAGATGCTTGGAGGAAGGAGCAGAGGAATTTTTTCTCAAGCCAGTGAGGCTGTCAGATTTGAATAAGCTCCGACCCCATTTGATGAAGACAAAGTTGAAAGAACAAAGGCCTGAAACGCAAGAAAATCCTGAAAACCCACGAGTTCAAACTGAAGAAAATCAAACTGCTGTGCAACAACATATTATATCACAGCCACTACTAGATCAACAACAACCACAATCACCGCGAGCAGCCAGTAATAACAAGAGAAAGGCCATAGAACAGCAGGGGCTGTCGCCTGAGACTGACAGAACGAGACCTAGATACAGTGACATAGCAACGGTGGTGTGATCAGTATATTTCTGAAATTACAATATGTAATTCTCAATTTCTCATATGACCTCTTTTTAAAAATCATTTTCAAGTCTTAACTCCAGTGTTGGATAATAGAAGCTTTATACGGACTGTAGAGAGAGTTGCCTCCTGTACACATCTCCTGGAAAATCCCGCTTCCAATTTTGTTTCTTCAAACATACCCAAAAAAGAAAAAAAAAATGAAGTAGAGAGACAGAGAGAGAAGAAATTCAAATGATTTATTTCCGGTGTCGATGAACGTATTCTGGAAAATTAGATTCTTGTTCCCATTTCTCCGCCTCTTCTCCCACCCTTTCTACCCTTTCCAATCCCCAGTCGCATTTATGTCTAAAGCAGAGACGAAGCCTAGAACCTTTAATTTTTTTTTTTGAAAAGGAATATTTTTGGCCAGCAGGTAACCTCTGCTTAATTGTTCCCTATTCCGTGCTTTCTTTTCATTGTACTGTTGGGCCGGAGCTCCGGGAAAGTGTAAATGTCCAGGGAAAGTTACATTTTCTTTTTGCCGAAACGGACCGATGACCCATGTTATCACTTTTAGAGTTCTTTATTACAAGAATGAAAAAATAAATCTACGATTTTGAAAATTATAACGAGTCAAATTTTAATGGTGAGAAATAGAAAAATCGAATAACATTAAAATAAGAGTATAAAAGTGTATTTTTTCCAATTTGTTATGCTATGATATAAGGGGGAATTTTTCTTAGAAGGATACGATAATTTTTGTTTGGAAATCTTGTATCTTTCGGTTAAACTTTGTCTTGGGTCTTAATCGGTATGGGGATTGGTTTGACGTGTTAAATTTGGCAAATAGCTCCGAGACTTGTTTGATTTTCTCGTCAAGCCAGTGCTGTTCGGTGAAAAAAGAAAGAATGAAGCCTAATTTGGGTAAAATTTTATTAGAAAATAATAAGTAGGCAAAAGTCTCATTGTGGTCCCTTAATTGTTGGAGATTGTTTCGATAATCGATAGAGTCCTCTAATTTATTTTTATTCTCTATCGGTCCTCTAAATTCTGAGATTTGTTTCAATCTTCTCCTGTTAAATAGCTCTGTTGAAATTGGCAAGTTTTGCCCCTTAATTAATTGGTTCCGATTCCTGAACTTCTGACCTGTGTTGGGGGAAAAAAAAACAACTTTGTGTTGACTGCTTAGAGAATTGGAATCTAATATAGGAGCGCGGCTTTCAAATTTTAAGTAATCCTTCTGATGGACTGCTTGATGCTTCGTATGAGGATAAACTGGTTTTATCTTGGCCCCGAGGTATTGCGTTGCAAGCTGCTCTGGGATTTGCCCTACTTATTAAAAAAAAAAAATGCCCTTCTTTGGTATGATTAGAAATAGGTAATCACGAATGGAGTTAAGTTTAGCCGAATGAATCAAGATTCGGATAACTCATTAAAAAAAGTATTCACATTTAACGTTTGAAAAAATTTTAAATAAGATTGTCTCTAATGAAAAAAAAATATTATTTGCGTAACAAAAGAAAAAAACAGGTAATGAAAGATGGGGAAAAGGTCATCACTCCTGCTCTAACTTGGGCATACAGGCCTTTTGCCTGAAAGGCCTCGAGAACTTGTAAGGGGTTGGTAGGAAACTAATTGAGTTTAAACTTAAACTTATATCACGTGAAAAAAAAAAAAATATATATATATATATATATTTTGTAAGGGGTTGGTATGAAACTTATTTAACATTCCAGTACGTGTCTGTGTGACATACTATAAGAAGCAGGATTAGAGCTGCAAGTTGATTGAGTAGAAATGGATTGATTTTTCTTGAGCAATCCGGATCGAGGAAGTTATGCCACCGCAATCAAGTTTGGTGTCAATCAAATCCAAGTACTCCGCCAAAATGATAAATTTTGATTTTGAGCCCTCTCCAGATAAAAGCAATGCTTTCTACTTCACGGAAGGGCTAATTGTTAACTTGAACTCTCTTCGCTGACCCTAAAAATTTGGATTCTCTTTTACTTATCGAATGGTTTTATATTGTTCGTCAATAACTGAATAGTGAATTTTTTTTTTAAAAAAAGGAGCATGCTCAAATTTATATTGTTTAGTCTTGTTAATAAGACACTGTGCAAGGGAGCATCCGGTTGCTCTCTTCTTCAGCCTCGGTCCACTCCTCATAAACAACTAAACAAATCAATATTGACTTTGCAAAAATCCCCCTCTCGTAAAAACAAAATCTCTCTTTTTTTTTTGGTTGCCCCTTGTAGTTGGGAATTCCCGAAATAGACTGACTTCCTTTTTGTTCAAAGTCTGGTCAATGTATACTAAATAGAATGTCTTGGACGGGGCAGAAAAGAAAAGTTGAATTGCATAACATTACATTAATCACAGTTAGATCCCAGAACTCTAAATTAATGACAGTTACGTTATCAAAAAAAAATTTATGCATAATGAATTGTAAATATTAATATAAACAATTACAAAAAGAAATTCCTGTTGTAATGTAAAAATTACATTTGATAATTAAATAATTATTTACAATTAAAATTTCTGGATTCGTAATTATTTGAATTGATACTTTTAACTGATTTTTTTTAAAAATATTGCTGGAGACTTAACCACTATTAATTCAGTGTTATAAAACTTAACTACCATTGTCTCTCTCTGTTTTTTTTTTAGAAAAAGGAATGATGGATTAAGAAAAAGAAAGAAAAAAGAATGAAGGGAAAAACTGGGGTGGTGGTATTAGGTCCATTAACAGGCACACGTCTTATGATTGTTGATTTTAGGCCCATTTCACTTTCGAGTTTTGAAAGCCCAGAATTTGATGGATAAACTGAAGACATTTGCATGCTCTTTATCTTCATCATCATTATTTTATATATAAAAAAAAATCAGTATCATTATCTTTATTTTTTACTATTTTGGGTAATTTAATCACTCCGTAGTATTGGAAAAAAAATATTTTTCCATATTATAAGTTCAAAAATCAAAATTTTAAATATAAGTAAAATATTTCAGGTATAATTTTAATTTAGATTCTAGAAATTGAAATAAAAAAATAATTAATCTCTCCAAATAGACATAGTAAAACTTCCGTCGTAAATGGAGAGCTTACTGCTACGGTCATTTTTTTTTTTAAACTGAGTAAAGTTTACAAAATTACATGGATCATATATATATATATATATATATTTACAAGAATTCCCCTTAATTGATCACAGATGAAGAGCTCACCGTCTGCTTTTTTTCTTAACAATCAAGGTTGCTATTTTGCTTTTCATCGTATTTTTATATCCATTTTTCTTTTCAGCTTTACAAGTGTGCGTGATATTTACTATATTATCCCCCTGTCCATTAATTAATTGATATTTTAAATTTACTTTTATTTTTTCAGTCCCACATTTACTCAGTGGGAAGCAGTCACTTATTTACTAACTTAAATGGGGTTTAAGGAACATAAAATTTATAGCAAGTCATCTCAGACATTCAATTGAAATACATTGAACAAAATATTAAATAATACTCGAATTTTATATTTTATAAATAGAAATAAACCACTATCTAAAACCAAAATTTTATCAGGAGGCAGTGCATGGTAGGGTGGAGGGGAAGAGAATCCGAGTCACCTGAGCCCCACGTGCATCCCTCTTTTACCACGTGTCGCGTTCTGGCATGCTGAAGGAGCTCTTGGCCCAATTGACCGTCCGTAAGTCCGAAAATTCTAACACCTGTGGCCCTCATCTCAAAAATCTGAAAAGAAGAAAGGTATATAAATAATTAAAATAATGCCAATGATGCTGATCATAGAGTTAAGGCATTAAGGGTATTAACTTCGTCACCTCCTCCCTTTTCTCCCTGTACAGACCTTTCCCCTCTCTAAGGTTCCCCAATTCCGATCCAATTCTGGTAAGTTACCTAGGGTTTATTCCTGGACTTTCATTTTTCTTGGTATCTTGAGAACTTCATTTCCAAATCTTTATCAACACGCGTGCATGCTTTACTTTAATTCGTTTTTGAGATTCTTCTGGTTTCTCTTATTGATTTTGTGATCATATGATTTGGGACGTGTCAGCCACGACTGAATTGGATTTTGCATCGTTCTCTGGTGTGGTTTGTTTACTGGAATAGGCAAACCCGTCTCTTTGCTTTGCCATACGCACTTAGGATGAAATGTTGGGTGCACATGAGGCCACTTCAAACTGTTTATAATCAGAAAGTTCTGTTAAACTTGTCCGGGGTTGTTGTTGCCTCTTTCATGTTTGTTTTTCCAGTTTCCTTGCATCCTTTACAAGCTCCGTGCGTCACTTACTTTCGGCACACGGTTCTTTCAAGCAAATTATGAGCCTGTGTTCTACATTTTAAGACTACTGGAAAAGTTTGCAGGGATGGAATTCCTTTTGTTAATCTTATTATGCCTCCAGGTGGTAGGTATTGGGCTTGTTTCCGAGGTTCCCAATTCGTTTCCAGTTCAGACAAAATGTCCAGTATTCGGCCTGAGACTTTCCCCACGGTATCTGGGGATTTTTTTTTTTTGGAAACCTTCAACAACACGCATCCACGGTTCAATTGATTTTGTTTTGAGATTCCTGTAGTTTCTCTCGTTGATCTTGTAATCACAGGATTTGGAACCTTATGAGCACGATTGAATTATTTGCATCATTTCTGTTGTTTCGGTGATATAGCATGGTTAAGGAAATCTATCCCTTTGATCCGACCTATTCTGTTAAGACTAAAGTTTGTGTGCGTGTGAAGCCACTCCAAACAGTTTATGGGCAGAAAGTTATATTCGATTTCTTCATGGTGGTTGTTGCCTTTTTTTCTCCCCTTCCCTGTGCACGTCATTTAATTTTAGCATTTGTTTTTCTGAAGTAAATTATGAGCCTGATTTCTACCTTCTAAGATCTCAGGCAAAGTTTATGTGGTTCCAATTCCTTTCCTTACTTCTATTATGCCTTCAGGTGGTAGGTATAGGGCTTGTTGATTGACTTCAAAGTACGACTGGAGCTTTACTGTGAAAAACACTAGAACTTCATCACTTATTACGAGCAAATTCGGGAACTTAAGATATGGCAAGTGGATCCGAGAGACGGGTTTCCCGGGAGGACATACAACTGGTAAGAAGTAACCTTCAGCTTAGCTATAAGTCATGCATGGTTGGTGTATATAGTAAACAATCCATTTGAAAATGTAGTTTGTTATTTTTTCCGGACCTGAAATATTTTTGCCACCTGATAACCTTAAGTATATGACAAGAAATATGCAGGTTTCGCTATTGTTTGTGAACATTGATTGCTTAAGAGATAATGATGTAAAAAATACCTGCCTAACAGTTGTTTGACAAAGTGTTGGGTGCCCTCATAGTTTGCCCTTCGCACTTCTTTCGTCAAATAACTGTCAGTTTAATGGAAGCATCTATACTTGCATTGAAAAGAGGTAATTACTCTGCCTGTTTATAACGCCATCCTTTATCTGATATATTAGTTCCTGGTGCTTATGTAATTGGACAATGCTCCTATTTCCGAAGTATGGCTAACTACAGAAAATGTCATCCCCATGCAATGTCTGGACACGTCTGTTTGGAAACTGATCTCTGTGTGGACATATTGGTATTTATTTATGTATTAATATATAGGTAGCTACAGAAATTTCCAACCCCAGTGCAATGTGCACACTTTCCTATTTAGGGAAGGGCTTTGGCATTTAGATTGTGGTATTTATTTATGTATGAATTATGCATGAATATACAAATGTCCAAGTGATTTTCAAAAGTATGATATTCTAGTATCTTGGGGAAGAATGAGATTTCTAACTATTAAGTTTTGTATTGCCTCATTCTAGGTGCAAAATCTTATAGAACGGTGTTTACAACTATATATGAATCAGAAAGAAGTTGTGAAAATGCTGCTGGATGAAGCAAAAATAGAGCCTGGTTTCACGGAACTTGGTAATGGAAATTTGTTCTCTGCCATTTATTTCGCACCTTAAATTATCAGGAGACTTGATATGATATCCCTGTACATGCTACAATATTAGTAGCTTTTTATTAAACTAAACTTTCAAGTTTCGATGTAATTTTCTTTTTATTCCAGATGTTTTTGATTTCTTAGTCGTTATTTCCAGCTTCATTGCTCAGGATAGAACATGGGTCCTTAAAAGATGATTTAGGTCCAAATGTTAGAGCCTAGCTTTTAATATAGTTATCATATTTTATGTGAAAATCTTGACTGTACGATTGCATTTCAGAATAGAGGTCAGTGAATGTGACAGAAGATAAATCACAGAGAATCAGATTATTGTTGGGTTGAAAGCTGGAAGTGAATAGATGTATTCTATCACCATCAAAATGGGATACACACACACACATCACTGAACTTGGTAACGGAAGTTATATTGACTGTATGGTTTTATTGGCTATTTTGCTATATTGTTGAGAACAACTTTGCTACCTTTCAATTCATGTTTTCATTTTGCTGAACTCTTTGTTCTCTTCTCTTTGACCCTGTAGATTGTTGTAAATAACTTAGGCTGCTCATAACTTGATAATGAGGCTTCTGTTATGAGAAAATTTCGAACCCAAATCCAGTGCTGGAAAAAACTCCATTACTGACATGATGTCGAAGCTGCTTTTTAATCATGAGATTGGGCATTTTAGTCAAAAGTCAGAGGTCACTTTTTCACCTGCTATTTCTATATTCAGTGTTTTTGTTTTCTTCTTTTCAGTTTGGCAAAAGCTTGAAGAAGAAAATCAGGAGTTCTTCAAGGCTTATTATTTAAGATTGGTGGTAATGCAGCAAATAAATGAGTTCAACAGGCTGCTTGAACGGCAGATGAATTTAATGAATCAATTACAACCAACTGCAGTTGCATCAATTCCTAACTCTAATGGGTCACATATTTCCGCATGTGCGTCTTTATCACTTCCTTGAGTATTAATTTCATTTATTCCGGCCAAGCTTTTCCTTTAATGCTATGTAATCCATGCTTACCGAAGGTACTTCATTCTTATTTATCTTTTGAGTTGGTGCTTAATTCAATGTACAATCAAGTTTTCAGCCATGGAGAATGTTTCCCTTCAGTTCTGATGATCCTTGAGACTGATCTGATGGGTTGAACACTTCTTGATGGTCATTTAAGAGGGATAGAAAAGGTGATTTTTGGAGTAATTACTAAAATAAAATGCTAAGGACTTGAAAACCATAGTAGTTAACTCAAGTTTTTCCAAGAATGATTAGTCATCGTTCGATGTATACGAAGAAGATGCAATATTAATTTATTTTTGCAAATCATAAAATGACGTTTTTTCATATTGTAGTTTCAAGAGGTGCCTGGCACATGATGTGGTAGGTTGATCTAATTGATTAGATTTGGTCATGTCAATACATTGCAAAAGATCCAAATATTGTTTAATGTTCCAGTTACAATAGAAGACGTCTTGTGTGTGTGTGTGTGTGGGTGGGTGTATTTTTACGAAATTCAAGTAAAATTCTGTTCTATCTTATGTGCTTGCTTAGACTTCTGTCTCTGTGCTTGTGCCTGTCATGATTTCTAGTGCTGAATAATATTGCAGCTTGGAGATAAGAACCACTTATTTTTAATTACAGAAGAGATGATAAGTAACTCATATTTCAGGCATTTTTAAATTTTCCTTTCGTTTTCTTGTGTAAATAGTTACTGTATTAGTATTTACAATATCTTACTGGAAGAAAAAGGTGGGTGTGATTTCTAACCTTGAATATGGGGGATGAACTGAAGTTAAATTCCAGTTCATTTTGTTCCAACGACCTTCATCTTTTTGTGAAGCTTTCTTTCTCTCTCTGGGTATTTTGTGGCAATAGTTTCCAAAGGTATGGGGTGCTGTATTTGTAGAAAATTTGTTGGGGAAGCTGGAGAAAATTTTCAGGACTATGATTGAGACTAGGATATAATATAATTGATTTTACGTTGTTTCTGGTGATAAATTTTGTTCTTCTGTTATCCTTGAAATGTTATTAATGTTCCAAAGTAATCAAAAGGTGGTAGTCATTGAATGGATAAAGTGGGCGGGAAAAAGGAGAAAAATCGGTTACCTGTTTCATTGTTTAAAGCCTATATGGTATATGTTTAACTCCATCTTTTTTCGTGAAATTTAATTTTCTTTTCTTTACATGGTATTCTAACAAATGTTATTCGTGCTGTAGTGCACCAGAATCCAGCATGCTATGCTGCAGAGCACGTGGGAACAGCTCTGAAGCCTGAAAACTTGCAACATCCTGTTGGTTCTAGTTTACAGAGCGTGTTTAATAATGATGGATCATCCCTGTGCACAAATATGCGTGGTACAGTTGAGATGTCTCATGCCAACAGGATTGGTGCTCCCCCAAGCTTACTGTCAGGTCAAAACTCTAACATGGGCCTGATGCAAGGAATTAACGGGGGAATGATCAAGTCAGAACCTGGATACTCACGCAGTTCTCCTTACATGTTTGGTACTGGTAATAGTGTCTTGGAGACGCGACCAATGATTGGTGATGCCTCAGTTACATCATACCCAAGTGTGGAGTCCAACTGTCAATCAATGCCACTTCTGGATGCAGATGTAGCTTCTTCATTTGGATTTTTGGGGCAGATTCCTAGGACCTTTAGCCTTTCTGATCTTACTGCTGATTTTTCTCAGAGTTCGGGTTAGTCTTCTTTCTCTCTGACTTCTTGTCTGTCCATGTGTGCATCTGCATGCTTACATGTTTCCCACTGGTTGGGTTATCGTTGATGCCAATTGTTTAGAGTTTGATTTCAGTCTCTAGTTTCTTACAGACAGTTTCTCATTTGTCAGAAATACTAGAGAACTATTCACGGTCGCCCTTCCTAGTTACTGACGAGAATTTCCTGGAAAGAGGAGAACAAGGTGAGAAATACCCAAAAAAAAAAGGGAAAGAAAGACCTCCAAAGAGATCCATCGTTGGCTTGAAAGATTTGAGATGGCTGCTAACTTTGATATTGTCTTGGTGTTAAAGCAGACAATAAAAGGCTGGATTCTATATCGGAAGGCTTGAGTTATGAAGACTTCGGGAGTGATTAAATTGATAAAGAACATCTAGTCATCAGAAACTTTCAGGTATCCCTTTTTATCAATTCTTTTTTAATTTTAATGTGACGTAGGTATCAATTTACATCAAAAACCTCCTCAATGATACATCCTGCTCCAATATTGCTAAATGAAAAATCAACTGTTTTTTCATTAAAAAAATTAACTGTTTTATTGGTAAAGTACTGTTACTAAATTCATACAGAAGAGCTTTTGTCAAAGTGCCTAACAATGGTTTGTTTACCTTACTTTCAGGTTCATCAGCTTCCTTAGGAATCAATTGCTTGTAAATAGAAGTCTTGAAGTCAACATGTTTTCAAAATTTGAGCATTGGGTGAACACATTTATTTGTCTAGATCTCTGATGTCATAGTGTTAGTGATGGGAAATGAAATCCGGAATGTTTGCATGGAAGGGAATAGCATGGTCTTGGTGGTCATGGTTCTTGGTACTCTGTGTTGCAAAAAATAGTTTTTCTACGTATTGTTAGATACTAGAAAATCTACTTTGCATGGATTGCATTTTGATGATTGGAGTTGTGGATTGCTCTTCAAGATGTGCCCTTTTGGAGTAGAATCAGCACTCAGCAGCAAAATACGATTTATTGACCAATGGAAGCACGGCTAGCAAGGACGTGAAGAATTAAAGGGAGAACTCAAGATTTATCCATACAACAGTTGCTAATATACATGATTTGAACTTTACATGATGATGATTAGATATGCATCATAAGTTTGCCCCTGTGATTAGATGTTTCACCAGCCTCATGTTCTTTGCGTGCGTTTTATAAAATTACAGAATGGGAATATTTGTTTAGAAAATCATGTATGCAACCTCAGGCCTTGTGACATCAGTCTTTTAATTCAATGTTGTGCTGGTGGCTCCAATATAATCCCCTTTGAACGTGATTTATTTTCTGTCTTCAACTTTTTAGTTTTACGTTTTGCTACACAACTGATCGAATAATCTCTGGCACTCTTCTAGAGTCTCGGTGAGAACTATGCCTAAACTCGCAAGGTGGATGATTTGATCAAGACCGGTTTAAGAGATGAAGATTACTTCACCGAATATTTATTTATCGCCTTGTTTCTCAACTCACGAAATGTTTAATTCTAGCTTCTTTTGTACGCTTTTGGCAATTGCAAGGGGCTGGAACTTGGAACTTGGCATCATAGGCAATTTTCAAGATTACAAACAACAACAACAACAACAAGCTTTATCCCACTAGGTGGGGTCGGCTATATGGATTGTAAGACGCCATTGTGCTCTATTATTTATCAAGCTTTTAAGAATATTATTAATTAAGAGATCGCGTTTAACAACTTCCAAGAGTGTTCTCTTAGGCCTTTCTCTACCTCTCTTAATCGGACTCAAAGTTATATGTTCCACTCTTCTCAGTGGTGCCTCCCTTGGTCTTCTTTGTACATGCCCAAACCATCTCAACCGATTTTCTACCATTTTTTCCTCAATAGGTGCCACCCTCACTTTTTCGCGTACGTGCTCATTTCGAATTTTATCTTTACGTGTATGTCTGCACATCCATCGTAACATTCTCATCTCTGCTACTCCAACTTTATGCTCTTGCTGTCCCGTTAGAGCCCAGCATTCACTACTATATAACATTGCCGGTCCGATAGCAGTGCGATAAAACTTTCCTTTAAGTTTATTAGGCACCTTATAGTTGCAAATAACTCCTTTAGCTTTTTTCCAATTAAACCACCCAGCTTGAATTCTATGTGAAATATCTCCAATGATTTCGCCATCATTTTGAATAATGGCTCTCAAATATCTAAACTTTTCCACTTGAGGTATAATTTGATCTCCCAATTTCACTTCCAAATTATTGTCGAATATTCCTTTACCAAATTTACAATATAAATATTCCGTCTTACTTCTACTCAAACGAAAACCTTTCGACTCCAATGTCCTCCTCCATAACTCAAGTTTGCAATTAACCTCTTCTCTTGTCTCTGCTATAAGAACTATATCATCCGCGAAGAGCATACATTTCGGGATTTCCTCTTGAATATGTTCCGTCAAAACATTTAAAATCAAGTTGAACAAATAAGGACTCAGAGATGATCCCTGATGTAGTCCAATCTTTATAGGAAAATCCTTTGTTTGACCACTAGGCGTTCTTATACTAGTTTTTACCCCCTCATACATATCTTGTATGGCTTTAATATAAGCAATCTGTTCTCTCTTTTTTTCTAACGCTTTCCAAAGCACTTCTCTTGGTATACGGTAATAAGCTTTTTCCAAATCAATAAAAACCATGTGTAGATCTTTATCTTTACAACGATACTTTTCCATTAATCCCCTTAGTAGATAAATCGCCTCTGTAGTTGATCTACTTGGCATAAAACCAAATTGATTCTCAGAAATACTTGTCTCCAATCTCAACCTGTGCTCAATTACTTTCTCCCATAATTTCATTGTGTGGCTCATGAGTTTAATCCCTCTATAGTTAGTACAATTCTGAATATTTTCTTTATTTTTATAAATAGAAATTAATGTACTTCTCCTCCACTCATCAGGCATTTTCTTGGACTGTAAAATCACATTAAATAACTTAGTTAACCATCTCACCCCTTCTTCACCTAAACATTTCCACGCTTCGATAGATATACAATCAGGTCCGTTGGCTCTACCATTTGCCATTTTTTTAAGAGCTTCCTTTACCTCTTTATCACGTATTATTCGATAAAATGACAAATTTTGTTCTCCTTCACCAGTTACTAAATCCTCCAAGTTACTAGATGAATCATCTCCATCATTGAAAAGTTTAGAAAAGTAAGTCTCCCATCTATTTTTAATTTCATCATCTGTAACTAAAATTCTTCCCTCTTCATCCTTAATACACCTTACATGTTCTAGATCTCTTGATTTTCTTTCCCTACTCTTGGCAATCTTATAAATATTTTGCTCTCCTTCCTTCGTCTCAAGGTTCTTATAAAATTCTTCAAAAGCTTTAGATCGAGCTTCACCCACAGCTCTCTTAGTTTCCTTCTTAGCCATACGGTACCTCTCTCAATTTTCCTCATTGTTACACAAATGTATGGCTTTAAAACAGTTCTTCTTATACTTGATTTTGTCCTGTACACTATTATTCCACCACCAAGACTCCTTATCTCTCGGACCAGAACCTTTCGATTCTCCCAAAACTACTTTTGCAACCTCCCGTATCTTTTTAGCCATATCCTCCCATATGATGTTAGCACTTCCTTGAGATTCTCAAATTCCTTTATCCAAAAGATTTCACTTGAAAATATCTTGCTTCTCACCTTTTAATTGCCACCACCTAATCCTTGGTGTTACTACTTATCGACGTTTTTGAATTTTACTCATAATACACACATCAAGGACTAGGACCCTATGTTGTGTCATTACAGCTTCTCCGAGGATCACCTTACAATTTTTACAAAGTCTTCTATCTATGTTCCTAACTAAAAGAAAATCAATCTGTGACCTTGAGGCTCCACTTTTATAAGTGATGAGATGCTCATCTCTCTTCTTGAAACAAGTGTTGGCAATTTTAAAATCATACGCCAATGAGAAATCAAGAAGAGTTTGTCCTTCATTGTTTAGCTCTCCAAAACCAAAACCACCATGCACCCTCGCATACTGACCAGCTTCCCTCCCAACATGCTCATTAAAGTCTCCTCCAATAAAAATCTTTTCACTCTGTGGTATATGTCGAATCAACCCCTCCAGATCCTCCCAAAATAATTCCTTAAGACTGGCTTCTGTCTCGACTTGCGGCGCATAAGCGCTAACAATATTAACAGACTCACGTCCAATTATCATTTTTAAGAAAATAATTCTGTCTCCAATTCTGCTAACTTCTACAACGTTCTTCTTCTACTCCTTATCTATAATGATGCCTACTCCATTGCGTGCACTTACTTTTCCTGTATACCAAAGTTTGAAACCTTGAATATCTTTAGCTTCTTTTCCACACCATTTTGTTTCTTGCAGGCAAATGATATTGATTTTCCTTTGAATCATAACCCCTACAACCTCTACAGATTTACAATTTAATGTCCCAACATTCCAAGTACCAAATCTAATTTTGCTCTTATGGATTAACTTCTTTAGCCGCGTGCGTCCAAAATGACGCGGTAGCCCTTGCTCATTTAACACTACATCCGGGCGCCGATGCAGCGGCTCTAACTCACTTATCACTGTACTCGAGCCATGCAGCGCGTTACTTACGGGCAACGACCTAGCATTAACATTATAACGTCTATTGTCCATGTTCATGATAGATTCAACAAAGTTTTACATTGGCTGTTGATGACCTAACACAACCCTCCTCCTTTACCCGGGCTTGGGATTGGCTATAAACATAGGCGGAGTTATGAGTGAATTTATTTACTTTTGAGTTTAAATCCTGGACTTCATTTTAAAACAGCACGATCATTGTCATTTATTCATGACAAAACTAAAGTCATATAAACTGTCTGAATAATTTGAGCTCTTTAATATAATCTTCTATTGTAAATTTTAGAGAGATGTGGTGTCTGAATGTAATTTTCCCTAATATTACTAAGAAGAGCCGTTTACAGCAAAAGCATCAACCGGTGCTACTAGCTATTTCATGTGCTTCAAACTCACCCTCGCAAACAATTTTTGAAAGGAAAAGGAACATGTGATTGTGAATACACCCACATTTACAGTAAATGTGCAAACATTTTTTCATCTTTTCAAATTTGAAAAGGGTTAGCAGTAAAACAGCAAAAGCAGATGAGACAGCTACTTTAGCTGCCCAGACCCACCATTGGAATAATGCAGTTGTGGCCTGTGTGGGATCTAAGGGTTTGCTTTGTGGTCCTTCACATATCAAATGGCCGATTCTTGCAGTTTCTGATGCAACTGATGATGGCAATGGCCAGCTCGTATTAAATTCTTCCCTTCTTTTTTCTCCTCCATCATTTCTCATCATGACTCGCTTCTCTTGTCAACCTCCAGTGTCCAGTGATCCCTTACTCACTCGTCAAGCGCGCGTCTTCGTTCAATATTTCTTATCTCTATATGAAAATTCTCAGTAGAGTCATTAGGACGCAGGCATTCACTGTCTTCCTGCTTTGATCTGCTTAAATTCCCTCAACAGAGTGTGGATTCACTCAGAACACTATTAAATGAATGTTGATGCATGTCAATATTCTCAAAATATAACACTAATTTGACTTAAAACGACGTGATGGAAGGGTAACTAAATGGACTATGACATTGAGTTTGCCAATCTGTTCGTGCCAAATAATCTTTACTTGGATTTGATAAATCAGAAGTGATTCGTTAGAAATTACACGAGCATTTTATTCCATCCAATTCTTCATACTTAATGGGAGACCCCCTAATTTTATTTTAATATAGACTAAAACTAGTTAATCATAAAAGTAATCTCTGAAATGTTCGTTGTTCCATTTGACGGAAGGAGATTATCACTCATCACCTAATAAATTTAAAAGCTCCAAACCGTCATTTCTGATGCCCTTGACATAATCAATGCTTGTCATCTTCCCCCTCCAACCCTCTTGACAGCACCTTCTCATCCCCACACCTTTTCTTTTCTGTCTCTCTTCCTTTCCAGTTACTTCTAAAGCCTCCATGCCTACACTCTAAAAATCATAGTACCTTCAGAATGCTCTTTCTGTTAAAGCACAACATTTAGTCCGTCCAAAAGTCTTCTAAAAGAGGAAGACAAACCCAGAAAGTTAAAGGAAGAGAGAGAGAGAGCGGTAGAGAAGGGGAAGAAAAGAAAAAGTAAGTCCCCAGAAGACGAAGAAAAGGTAAGATACTCAAGGTAAAGCCAATTCATCAATTACTCAGATTCTCTAGTTCTGGATTCATGGGCTGCTCAGCCTCAAAACCAGTGAGTATAGTCGCCGGAAACAATGAGGATCGCTCCT